TATGCATGCATGCATGCATACATATTATATATATATATATATATATATATATATATTTATAATACATACATATGTATATATATGTCATTTGTGTTGTTAAACTTTTTTTTGCACAGACAATATCCAAATTCATATATATATATATATATATAGTCTTCCACACATACCTCTCACCTCTATATATCTTACACAACGTATAAGATATTTCCGCCCGTACAGTTGGTACTCCCAACATATCAGTGCAGCCAACCTCTCATCACCACTCTCCCATACCACTATTACCACAGACCACGTACAATAAACGTCAATATTTTATAACGCTAATGACAGTGGTTCTGACCCATTCTACAGTCCGTACATGCGTATAGCTACCCTCTTCTTCTCATACCTACCCACATCCAACTCCTTCCCATACCTACCTACATCCAACCCCTTCTTCTCATACCTACCTACATCCAACCCCTTCTTCTCATATCTCTCCTACCACAGATCACGCAAGCGGTTTCCGACTGTCAGTTGGTACTGTCAGCGCACCGGTGCAGCCATCCTGCGCTCGTCACAGCCGCTGGTGGGCGTCACACGCTCACGCAATAAAGGCGATGAGAACCTCCTGCACACACTCTCACAGCACGATACACTACACAAGCCAACGTCATCGATTTCAGAGAACGAAGCGGTGGATGGGACGGACAGTCATCTCTCGACACCGCTGAGACGGGGGTTGGCTGCTGCCAAGAGTATGGATGCATGCATCGGTATAGGTACGGGTGCACACGCACACGGATAGGTGTAGGGACAAATAGAAGTAAGTCCACGCACAGGTGCAGAGGAACGAGAACAAGCACATGTATGGGGACAGAGTGCATGCACAAGTATGAGTACAAGGTGCAAACACAGCTACACCCTGTTTCTGGATGAAGGTGTTGGTAGCGACCTAGTTTTTCATGTTCTTATTTTAACATTGTGTATGAGACAGATTCTGTAGTCACGAGTATACACAAGATTGTCTACTGTTGATTTGTAGTACAATGATAAGTATGAGCCAAACTCTGTAGTCAGGAATATATACAAGATTATTTACAGTTGATTAGTATTGTACCGTTCGTTAAGTACACGCCAAACGCAGTATTCGGGCGTATATACATGGGTTTGGGTATCAGGGTTTAGGGTTTAAGGTTTTCTGTATCCAGGAGTACAGACAAAGACTGTTCACTTTCGCCCAGTAGTAGTATTGTTAAGTGCACGTCAAATGCGGTATATCTGGTGTACATACAGGGTTTAGGGTTGAGAGTTTAGGGATACTATTATCAGTAGTACATACAAGGTTATTTACTGTGTAATAGTGTTGTACTGTCCGTTAAGCACACGCCAACGCGGTATTCAGGCGTATATACAGGTTTATGGTTTAGGGTTTAGAGTTTTGTGTATTCACGAGTGCATACAAAGACTGCACTTTCACTGTGTAATAGTATTGTACCGTTCGTGAAGTACACGCTAAACGCGGTTTATTGGGGTTACATAGGCTTATCTACGCATGACTCTGGCCCTCCTTCTACAGCCGGTGACAGAGAAGAGGACCTGAGTGAGTACGAGAGCGACGGTCTCGAGCGCAGCGCCAGTGCGATCTCAACGCTAGGTGATCGTGTCTCCCACAGTGCGGAGTCGGAAGTACCGAACTTTGACAACACTCGATGCGACGGTAGTAGTGGTGTGGGAACGACGAATGGGGCGTCTAGTGTTAGTCTAACAATGGGCAAACGCAACGCACCCGTACCGTATGTAGAACCCTACGCACGCTCACGCTCCCATACGGAGCGTAGTGCGCCCGCACGGCCCACCACACCTGCACCCGTGTCCGGGATTTCAGGTGCAGGTGCGCAGGAGAGCCGGGGGGATAACAGGGCGAAAGGAAGAGGGCGAGAGCATGACGGTAGGCGTGACATTCCAGGCACGCAGACACACACAGAAGCACAGACACAGACACAGGGCAATTCGCACACACATTCACGCTCACACACACCCGACGGGGCCAAGACTCAGACGAAATTGGGCCATTTATTGGCCAAGGCAAGGAACTCGCTGGAGCAGAGCAGTCTCTCGCCGTTGAGCTCAGGCAAGACGATCTCGAGCGACTCACAGAAAGCCCTGTATATCCTGGATGCGAGGCCGCTGGTGAATGCAGGGGCTATGACGCTGATGGGGGCAGGTAGATATATGCATATGTGTAGGTATGTATACCGATGTTTATGGCTGTGTATGTATGACTTTATGTACATCATATTTTAAGTCAAAATTGTATTTGTATTTATATATGGGTATGTGTTTAAGTTTGCTGGAGCAGCGCAGTATGTTGCCCTTGATTACGAGAAAGAGTACCTCGAGCGATACACAGAAAGCACTCAACGTACCATGTTTTGCCTGTTGTATCAAATATATAACAGCACTGCTATATCACAGACTCATATCTTGGTATGGAGCACTTCATCGACACGATCAATGGTATCAACATGATGTTATTCATGTATTGATAATATATATACTATAT